ATATTGTTATTATTATACATTATTAACACCTTTACGTATATATTATTTATATATACACACGAAACGGTCAGACCACCGCCGTACGGACGTTATTGTCTTTGCTCGTTATTATTATTATAGCTTTCGGCTTCTTGTACGGTAGTGCGGCGACGGCGGTGGCGGCCCGTTTCTCAAAAATGTCATTATTATTATTACTACTGCCTATATATTGTTATTGTTATTGTGCTCTATTAGTGTTGGGTTTTTTAAATTTCTCTCTGTCTCTCTCTCCCCACGCGCATATTAGGCCACATTCGTATATCACATTATTATCATCGTTCACTTTCCACATCACGAGACCGTACACAGTATGCAGTGGTTTAAAATTAATTCTATAATATATAGAATGAATATAATTATTAAGTACCTACTCAGGTAGCCACACACATTCGTACACAATTACGCTGTGTCTTATACAATATGACGTATTATAGGTACACTGCATATAACACTATAACATGCCCCTCGTATAGTCGTATATCTACCTATCATTTGTCACTCTTTATACAACCTATAAACATATAACTCGATGTGGCCACAGCAGCAGCAGTTGCTGTTGTATCAGTTATGGCCGCACATTTTCTGCGTTTTAGTGTTTATATTATTATTATTGTATATTAATCACTTAAATTTTTAAGTACCGTCGCCATCACAAGTGATCGCCGTCCCGAAATGAGCCAATACTGCACGGGACGTGTCGTGGTAATAAAAACAATAATACTCGCGTGTATAGTAATAAATAATAATAATATATATAATTTTTTTTATTTTTATTTTCTCCAGTATTTCAGAACAATCAGACACAACCACAAATGCCTGGACTGCAGTGGCGATGACTTTAACGTAAAAATTCGTGACCTCGGGCCATAGAATAATATTATTGGTCACCGGTCACCACTGTCCACCTTGCTATATAATATTATATGTTTTATTTTATTATTATTCCGCGTATAGGATGCTGATCCTGAGTAATAAACAATATATCTCTATATACACTTCGTATTTTACTACAACTTAGTTTGGTATGATCAATTTATTGTAGGTACCTATAACAATATGTTTATTATTTTTATTCTGGTAAATGAATAAATGATGCATGTACCTATATACAATAAGTGCAGCCTATGGGTATTTAACTTTAAGTTTCATTAACTTTATTCCGGTTATTTAAAAAATTACAAGTTTCTAATAATAATGTAGGTATACTAAATATTATAATACGATAATTTTCTATTGGGTGATTTAAAATTATAAAGCTACATAGGTAGGTACTATAGTCCAATAGGCCTATCATCGTTTATGTTGTTTAAGAGGTTCCTACTATAACTACATACTATCGGATAATATACTTGCATAATACATAGGTATTATTATTATATTCTACCAATGCAATAATGTAATATATTATAAATGTATTCGTTATATCATATCCCCAATCCCTATCATCAATCATCATCATGCATCGTCATCACCATTAAAAATATAAAAATGATTTTGAGTTTGTTGATACTCACAAATTGGTATAATCTCGGAAACCACAAAAAGCTATTATTCTATATCGAAGCCACATTCATGGTCTGATTGGTGCTCCTATTATTAGTATATTTATGTTGGGATTAACGCCCGATTGGAGTGTGATACATTTTGGTTCATGAGCACGGATGATTAACGTATTGTTTGCCCACGAAAATCGAAATTTTTTGGCTTCATGGGATTGCTCCATTGGTTATAGAAAATAAAATAGTTATTAAGTACAACCATTGGTAATCAAAAATAAACAACCAAAATATCAAAGAGACTTTTCTATAATATTTATGTAATATTTACATATATATGTATACAATTAAAGGTAATGACCGTTATTGTAATTTGTAGCTTACCTACCTATAATAAACTCGAAAACTATAACTGACCAATCTTGATGAAAATTGCAGAGATCTTTAAGAGTAGAGTGTAATTGCCACCAATATAAGTGGCACTTGTTAACTTTTTTTACTTTTTTGTTTATTACATACCAGCATACTAATATACCGTGGATCAATCAGGGGCGTCATTTCAACTTTTCAATACGGATGCAAACATTTGAATCAGGCCAATTGTTCCCTCCACCAAGCCATTTATATGTCCTGTTTATTAAGCGGAACTTAAAAAAATTTCCGATCGCTTCGCTCACTCATATCCCCCCATTTTAATATTCAAATACTCATTAATACTTTTTTTTCAAACATATTTAACCAATTTCATATAAATAAAAAAAGATATATTTAATAATATTCATTGCCTAATCATTATCACCAACATAAAAATAAAAATAATAGATAATATTATTAACTATTAAGTATACACCAGATACGACGACGCGACGCTTGACGGCGCAACTATAACATTTTATACGGGCCAACCAAGCATTTAAAAAAATAGGGCTGCCAATGTATAGTCTGAATCTCCCAAGTGACGCCTCTGGGATCAATACCACTATTGTTATTATTATATAGATATATTTATTTTTATTAATTTTTTTCTGGCGTGGAGTTATGCAGACTATAGGTATATAATTATTGTATTATGTAATATAAATCATATTATATCTAATGGACTTTTCACATCATTATAATAATTAGGCCAATCAATTTTAAAAACATGTTCAATTACATATTTATAAATACCTTTTTAAGTTTGACAAAATTTGTAACTTTTAATATATTTTTACTATATTACATTTTGAATAACCTTAAAGAGATAATAAATATGTTTATAATTTTATAATAGGTATGTGGACTATTATAGCAGTATAACATTATTAATTATTATATATTTAATATTTATATATAGATACATGATATCATGTATGTAGATATAATATGTATTGGTTTAGGCGTTTAGCCATTGCGATAATAATTAATATCACATGTAACTATATAATATGATTAACATTTAATAAATCTCTGTTAATACATTTTGAATAGGTTTAATGTATATTATATATGTACCTACGTATATAGTTGCCCATTCACCAATATTGTTACCAACAATATCTTTGCGACCGTATAATTGCTGGTACTATGTACATTTTAATGTTTATCACATATTTAATACCACCGATTTCAATTTATAAAACATTTAAACGTCACTACAGAATGCATTGTTCGCAATATGGAATTCAAAAGTCAATTTTTTTTTTTTGAAAACATATTATTTGAGAGCATAATAACGAGATAATAGTGCACATTTCTGAAAACACATTATATAGGTAGTTATCGAAAATATATATATCGTCGGGATATATTTAGTGTTAATCGATACTAGCAGCTTTATATATAGGTACCTAAAACCTATATTATACCATTTATACCTATGAATTATATTAACTTATTATTTAAGCTGTTCATAATATTTATAGATTAGGAATAGGGATTTTAGTCTTTACTATAATTATGGTAATATTTATACATCATCGAATCATCACTTGTCGTTACAGATTTGACACGCCCTGCAGACATATAAATGTATCATATAATATATGAAGTACGTCCTCTGATCACAAATAATATTATACTTGAATATTACACACTGCACATAATAAACTCAGAATAAGTAGGTATAAATGCCTAAATAGACTAAAGTAATTTAGTACCAGTGGGCATACCCAAATAAATACATAAACGCCTACTATATTCATGGCATATAATATATTATCGACACGTAATAACTATACGTAAGTAATAATAAGTACCTATGTAGCTATGTGGTGAGATCTATTTAACGTAAGACTCACTGATCATTTCAAAAAATTTTAACGTCTTTGAAAATATATATATGTTTTTCATAATTTTAAGTTGTTATAAAAAACAACACTTTACTATTTTTATCCTTATAATTTTTTTTCATTTTTTTATGTCAACATGCATTTTTAATATTCCAATGCAAAATCCATTTTTGGAGTACTTCAAGAAAACCTTATTTTCTATAGTGCGATGGAGTTAGTGGTATCTGTGAGGAATCTTATTATTGTGAGGACGTGAGATGGTAGGCTGCCATAAATTTTGTAATTTTTCTGATAGAACTGTATTATAGCGGTGTTGTTGACGGAGCATCGCCTTTGCCTATTGAAATGGTGCTGGGTGTTTTTTTATCTTTTATATATTTTTATTAGCAGACTGTTAATATACGCTCCCCATTTAGTAATGGTTTATTTTGGTTGTCACTTATTAAATTTATATTTATGATTTAAATGTATTTCCATAGTTTTTCACCTCAAAAATGTAAAACGAAAATATTATCTGGTTTCTAATGAAAATATAACGGCATGTGCGTACATAAAAAATGTTTAACTTATTTATATACGTATAGTTATAATTATAATTCCGCATATTAAAATATATGTTTCTGTAACATATTATAGTACCTACATATATTGCACTGTGCAGGGACGTTGGATATTTTAATAACTTTGTAAGCGGACAGCGATGTTTATAACTTCATTCATCGCGTTATTGCCTACAATCATTATAATATAAGGTATACATATTGCAGATTATATTATTATCATGTTGGAACTATTGAATCACAAATTATATCTATCTGCTGCTATTTTCGCCGGCCAGAATTAAACACTGACCATATCCCAAATCACGGCACTCTATATATCTATACTATGAAAGTTGCAGATGAAAAAATATCTTCCATATCATCATAATATATTGTTACATTATATTTATATTATGGTTGCAATAAATACTCGAATTTGGCGAAACCATATTATATATCAATCCGGAGCGGCGGCGGTTTCCTCTCGCTCAGCATGCCAAATGTGGGCGTGTACGTAGTACTACAAAATGGCGTACAGATGGCCAATAAGGAGCCGAATCTCAGACCGCCCACTGTGGGGAGGGCGTCGATTTGGACGGCGACGACGACGACGATGACGGCGGCGGCGGCGGCGGCGGTTGCGACGGCTTCGGGCTCGGTACCGGCGCATACCGGTCAGTGTCGATCGCACGCCGTCGTAACCGCCGCCACCGCGTGACTTTTCTGGAATTTCGCCGCGACGTTCGGTACCGCTATTTCTCTTTTATTTATGCGCCGCTCGAAACGCGTCATCGCCGGGTACGCGCACACGATAAGGGTAGTACTGTTATGATATTTGTTCGATGATTCGAATCAATATCAATATACGTACACCGGACCGGATCTATATATGCCTAATATAAATCGACCCCGCTGTTTGAAATAATAATAATGTATTGGCACATGGTGTCCGCTCTTAAATCGTGTGTGCGCTACGGATTATTCGACTGAAGAAAATAATCTGATGACATGTAATATTATATTGCACTTATATTAAACCATATGACATCAAATGTCTTACAAGTGTACAACAACTGCGGTGATATAATATAACAAAGGCGATAATATTTATAGGTGTACCCGTTCACATACACGGGTAGTATAGGTGTGTAGTAAGTTTAGGCATTTAATATTATGCCCATATAGATCCGTATATATTATATATATACGCGCGACGAGTGCGCAAACGACCAGTATCGAAACTGCAATATTATTATTGTGATAAATTCAATATAACATCGTACTTATAGTTACCTATACATACATTACGACGCATTTATAAATACAATACCTATATAATATTATATCAGTGAATTATGCGGCGGCCACCGCCACCGCCGCCGCTACCGTCGTCGGCGATTGCTACGGCTGTGACTCCGACTGCGGCGACGATCGCAACCTGCAGCATTTGAACACTGCGACCGCGACGACGATGGTCACGTGATTAGGATGCCGCGGCCGTGCAGAGAGACGTATGGCGACCAAAAGCCGCCGTACAGTTACATATCGCTGACGGCCATGGCCATATGGAGCGCTCCCGAGAAGAAGCTACCGCTGTCCGACATCTACAAGTTCATCAGCGACCGGTTCCCCTATTACCGGAAGAACACCCAAAGGTCAGTGTTATCCTCTGCACAGATTAATGCACCGACCTATCTATATACATGCATGTATAATAATGTATATATATAATATATAATATATTAGAATATTACCTATAAGTACCTTCATATATTATACACGTAACACATTATGTATTATATACCTAGTGTTATATGCCAAATATATAAATAGGTAATCAGCTGTAGCATATAATAATATGCATACCCTGACTTTGGACTCGAACCAATATAATAGTATACAATAGTATAAGGTATTAAATATAATGTAAGATATTAAAATATATACACCCTTATCGTGTATGAATTATGATTTACACGCCTCTATAACATAAACTAAAGGTACTGATGAGATTGTTTTTGGTTTTATGTATTATTTACGCCAGAGTTAAATAGGTGCTATTATACTCGTGTGCATATCTGTAGGGATGTCAAATTTGAAATAGATTTAGAATTTATATTTCCCTCCATTGCAGGTCTAAGTACGCAACTGTTCGTTTCAATTTATTTCAAATAATGGCAATAATAGCATATTGCAGCTGTATATTGTATATATATATATATATATACATACAAATATGTTTTCTCATCGCATAAAATGTCAAAAATATTGTCTTTTAAACTGTATCAACTCACAGACCTGAGGAGGAATCAATCAGCAGCAACTGTTGTAGTAACAGTTGAATTCAATACATTTTTAATTTTGAAGGCGCTTACTATATTTAAAATCAAGTTTTATAGCTATTTGCCTAACCTTTCTGTTAATTTGGGAATGAGGAGGTCTGTATGGAGGGAATAATACATTTGAGATGTATGAGCATGAGGAAGCATTATTATTTATTGGTTATAAATCTGAACATTTAATCTTTAATTTTTTGTGAAAAATATACTTATATAGGTAATACCTATAAGTCAACTCTACATGATTTCTATTAATTCGTCTTTTGAATTTTTTCCTGAAAAATCTAAAATCTATTCTTGGTTGATAACGTTTTATTTTTTCTTAGATACACACTTCGCGGTACAACATTAACATGTGGGTATATGACTTAAAACAAATAGCAATAATGCTAAGTCATTATACGCTATTCATTCGGTGAACATTGTTATAGGCTTATCAAAGGTAGGAAAAAAACATGATAAACACATGAAATGTATCAATCAATGACTTCCGTATAGCAGACATCTGACAGCTATATAATAATATAGGTAAAATTATATAGGTACATGCTGTGTACCTATCCCTATAGCAGTGGTCTGCGCTTTAACCTTTTGGACTTGTGACCCGTTTTAATAATTATTTATTTTTACAGTCCATAATCCATATATGTTTAAAAAAAAGCTGATTGATAAATACTATTTTATATATTATTATTTATTTGTAAAAACACACCAATTTTTAATTAATTTAAAAATTGTGTTTAAGCGCACAGTTATTTTATGTATTATATTATATTCATTTTATTAGGTCCGTAAAAGTGAACGAAAAGAAATTTTTGTATACCTATTTATTTTTTAATTATTAAAATTATGGATTATTAGCCATTTTCCACTTGTTTTTGAAGCTCACGCGATGCTCTGATTGAAGACCGCTATAGGGTATGGATTACACCTCTTAATTATTATTTCGTATGGATTTGATATAACATTCACAGTTTAACATAACGAATTATGAATTTTTAAAATAAAGTAAATGAGTAGAATAAATAAATAATGATAACAGGTTATATAGGTAAAAAGTCTTCTTTTAAATCATTGCCGTTACACTGAATCTGTTGTGGCTTTGTGTAGTTCATTCATTCCTCTTTGTAGTCACCGAATAGTACATTCATCAACATTATGTATAGCAGTTTACTTTTCGTGTCCGCTGTCTTATCGTGGTGAGGGTCTCAATCCCTACTTGTGGAGAAAGTATCCTGTCCTTCCGCAACCCGTTCCAAGTCTGTGTATAATATTATCCAGTCCCTTCTCATAAAATATCCCTATCTGGCTATCTTCCTTTCTCAGAAAACTCAATGTAAATAATATATATCTTATGTATAACTCTTAATAACAATATATTATAATATTATCATTGACTGTCAAATATATAGGTACATTTTTAATTATTGTTCATGATATATATCATTATATTTATATATTATATATTATATTTTTATATTTATTATTTATATATATATTATATTAATATAGTATACAATTGTATACATTTTTAATATCTTATATAATAATAAGAGGAATATATTTTGTATATATATACATTCATATTGTCTTGTAATTATTCGCAATTAAATGGAATTTGGGATTTTATTTTCAATATTGCTTTGTTTTTTTAGGAAGTTGACACATTAATACTGTATCGACATTTTATGTTGTACACTTTGTGCTCAAAAAAAAACATTATTTTAGACTCGCTATGCAGACTTTTCTCAAAGAACCACTTAAAATAGATGCAAGTGGGTAACTTTCCTGCTGTACATTAGGTGTCTAGAGAGTTACTGTAATGGATGTGTTAAATTTGACCGTAATTATATAAAATAATTGTATACGAAAAACGATTCTGACCGAAAATTTCTTATATTATTCCTTTTGAGGAGCTTTGTATACATACTCAAGTTTTTTAACAGACCAAACGAACACTTTTTAATCGATATAATTTTAAAAAACTGATAAAAATCGAAAATTGTATGATGCCTATATAAATAATAATAATATGAGTCAAAATATTTTGAAAATTAATGGTGTATAGAAAATGCTAACCTAACTTACAGTGAAAATTTCACACATCTAAGGAATATATACTGTATATGAGTTAGACCAACAACCAAAATCGATTTTGTGTAAAAAATTTTGTTTTTCCTTACATTTTATTTTTTACCTGCGCTTTTGAAAACAACTAGGAATTTTAAATGTTGACCTGCTGAATGAAGTACCAACTAGTTCTACTTTCCCATAAAAAAAGATACTGACGTTGAACATCAAAGCATTATTTCGACTATTTATCGTGCATACAGACACAAAATATAAAAAAACACACACACATCGTTGTAAAATCAACACCTCCTCTCAGAATCTAAAATGTTTCACACCATATCATAATATCAATTACATACATGGAAAATACAACATAATATTAGCCCAGAAAGTAGCGCTTTTTGTCGTTATTTGCTTTTAGGATAGTGAATATTATATTACAATTTCCAGCAAATAGTATATTAATTGTAGTATGTTGATAATATTGTTATAACTTATACTTATTATGAATTAAGTAATAAGTATAAGTATCTAATATAGGTACCAATATACTACAAACATTGAAACATAGCACCTACGGTAAACTGCAGCAAGTTCAAAAAGACGCTGCAGAGTTGATGCGCTTGTGCACCACCTGTCCTTTGCCTAAAATAGCACCTTTAGTATATACATTATATTTTTAACGATGTATTCATTTAAATGCTATAAGAATTTAAATACTTAGATAGTAAATTGCTTATATTATAAACGTATTGTGTATAAAACGTATAAACGCGTGCAGTTTGACCACGGTCGGTTCGGACGACTTTGGCGCGGTCACCCATCTGAGTTGACGTCGAGCGCGATCATTCGTGTGGAACGAATTGATCGCCGCGTGACAACATAAATATATGTATGTATCTGCTTATTGTATATTTTATACTTACGCAAGTTTAGTAAATAGGTTACGTTAGGTTAGGTATACACTGCAACACAATGGATATAATAATATAATGTGTATATGTATACACTTACATGTAAATTTAGTGTGAATTATATAACTTTCATACTAAATAATCATGTCTGCGCCTAAAAACACCAGCTGATACATCAAGTTTAATTATTTTATATAATATATATATATATGCATATAAGATTATGTATTTCTGTGTATTATATACGTAATTAATCTCTTGACTGCAGTGAGTATATACGAATATATAATACGCACGTGTATACCACTTTACTATCCATCAGCTGTACCTATATTAATTGCTACAAAGTGTATTAGTAGATCAGTACCTAATTGGGAAACTTTATTTTCATTATTATTATTATTACAATAAAACATTTGCTGACAATATATATGCATGTAAATAACTACATATAGTACATACCTATAGGTTTATATTGCAGTGGTGTAGTTTAGTCAGTTTAGATTTTAGATTGGGAGATATCAAACATTTTTTTGAATTATTTCTAACAATATGTCGCAGTCCCTCGTACCCTTAATCCATTTTCATCCTTTTTCATAATTCATAAAAACAAATTAAAGAAAGGCATAACATAAAATAGGTACCTACCATAATATACTTACCATATAATTATACGAATGTTATAATGAGTACGAGTGTCGATTCGCGTTTGGTATTTATTTCGAACCGTGTGCAATAATTTGTTTATATTTAATGAAAATGTATTCGATTGCAAATAACATTTACTGTCTTAAATGATATAGGTATTAAACTATTATATATATATATATATATATATATACGCACAACTGCCAAATGCAAGTATGCATATGTTTATAATGTGTAGAGAACGAATTAGCACTAAAAAGTATCGTAATGTTCCGTAATATACAAATCGGGAAAATATGCAAAAAAAAATAGGTAGTTGAAAATGTATTTATTACAAATTTTCAATTAGATCGCTAATTTTAAAGTTATTAATTTATATTTATTATAGGTATAAAAATTATAAAATTTCATTGAAAATCTTACACTAAAAAATTGCTCAAGTATTTATAACAATAATTCAGTCGCAATAGTTCAATCATTGTCTCCCATTTTCAAAATTAGTTAAATAAACACCAACATCACGACCACATATTAATTTACACAAGTCGCGGAATTAATCAGAAAGCACTATAGTAAATTCGGCCTTTTAGTCAGAGCCCATACCTACTTCTTCACCCACCCAGCATATCTATAAATATGAATTATATATATACAGCGGAAACCTATGTGATTTACGATGAT